TGGGAGACGTGAGTAAAGCCTGCATGTAGCTCCATGTTCGGGTCTGGGTAACGCACTCGCAGCCTAAGCCCTTCACAGGAGAGGCTTCGTCCTCCGAGACTCAAAACTCACAGAACTCCCTAAACCCTAAACCCTATCCCCTTAACTCTGGCACGCTTTCTGAGGCATGCTGCAGCCTTTTGCCGAACGTGTGCAGGCGATCGATGCATGAAGGTTTAGATGCGGGCTTCAGGGTTTCGGTAGCATTTGGGGCTGGCTTCTGGTTGTATGGATATATAAATACATATATATATATATACACACATATACACACACACATATCTAGATCTCGATGTCTCTGTATCTCTATATCTCTGCATCTCTATATCCCTGCATCTTGGTATGACTATATCTCCATGTCTCTATATCTCGTATCTATCTACCTATCTATCTCTAGCTATGAATCCGTCTATCTGTCTATCTACCTATCTATCTATCTATCTAGCTATCTTTTCTGTACACATATATGGCGGATAATGTGAAACGACGCACTTCTGCAAGGTGTCGCCGCTTTGGCGTGCCCGGTGGACGCTAGGAGGTGTAGATGGGTCCAGGTCGCAATGCTGTCTTCCATTGTTTGTATCATAGTCACAACTGCAGGTGATGCGTTGCAGTCGTAGAACCGCAGACATCGAAACCTGTCAAAGCGCTAAGCCGTTCCCTCGGACACTTTGGACGAAAGGACTTGAAACCACCATCCACACCATCTGAAGCCTTGAATCTAGATACCCAGAACCCTCCAAAAATCCAGAACCCCAAGCCCTAAATCTCGAACCCACCCAAAGCCCCGAGCCTGACACGAAACTGAAATCCGGAAGTCCCATGAAAATTTCCTTAAACCCTACAGTAGAAGCCAGAAAGTTGAAACATCATTATCTTCATTCCCTTAAGGTAACGTATAGGAACCCCCAGCGCGAATCGTCGTAAATCCATCTTACAGCTTTCTGGGGTTCACAAAAAACCCCACACTCCCTAGACCATAAATCCGAAACCCCAAGCCCTAATCCCTAAACCCTAAAACCCCACAGCCGGAAGCCAAAAAGGCCCTCCAAGAGCAGCTGCGCCTTCACGGCGAGGCTCTCCGCGAGCGGGAGGAGAAGGCTGCTGTGCGGATGAAGCTTTGGGTCTTAGGGTTACTTATTGCCTATACAAGTACCTTAGAGTTCCTGTAAAGGGTTGCTTAAAGGGGTCTAATGACGTACTCTACTCAAGGGATCTACAGTTCATAATTAACTATACTATTTTAGGGGTTCCTTATTATAATCTTAGTATAATAGACAGCAAAACCCTATTCTAATTATTAAGGCCCCTATATTATTGGCTTTAGTAGGATTAGGGCGTAGGGTTTTAGGGTTTGCGGGCTTTGGTAATTTAGGGTCTTAAAGGATTCGGGTGTAGGGTTTTAGGGTTTGTTTTTGTTAGGGTTCAGGGATGGCGGTTTAGGGTTTCAGGGTTTGTGCGTTTGAGTGTTTTACGGCTATTTGGAGCTTTTGGCGGTTCGGCTGAGGATTCATTGCCTCGGTGTTTTGAGATTTAGGGCTTTGGGCTTAGGGTGTTGGAGTGTCTAGGGGATATCAGTACCATAGTAGGAATGCCAACCACAAACGACTGAGGAAAGCTGTTATCGACATGGTCTTGCGGCATACGAAGCTGAAGGAGTCTTGATGATGCTTGTGCCCATGCTTATGCGCCGCAACTACACAGACAACGATAACAAAAAAGTACAGGGGGCTGACGCTCTGTGCCCTGAGCCCGCACCCAGCATTTCCATCTTGAACCTCCAGCTCCTCAGCAATCCGAACCAGGCCGTCATGTCTTTGAGGAACCCCCCTAAATCCTAAACCCCTAAACCCTAAACCCGGAAGATCTGAAACGCAACTGGGGAAGCCCAGGCCGAACAGCACGAGGGGCGTGGCCTGGCCATGTTTGAGCCGTATCGTCGGGTTTAGGTTGCACTTCCGAAGGCGTACACCCCAAGCCTACTAATGTTGGGCACATAGCAGTAACAAAATCAGCAGCTAAACCCAGAGTAGTATTTGCAGCTGTAGTTGTCGTTGTAGTTGTGGTTGTACCTGTAGTTGTAACATCACCCAACGAGCTCACGACAGGAGCTTGGGCTTGGGTCTCTTGTGAGGCCTTAAGTTTCGGGTTTGTATTTTGTGTTTCGATTTGTGTTGCGGCTCGCGTGTGAGGTGTTCAGGAGAGGCCGTGAAGAATCTTGAATTCTTTTGAGAGTGTAAGACATTACGGGCCCCATATTTTACGAGTAAATCTAGGTTCTTCGTGGATTTACAGTTGAAAAGTAATTATCAAGATATACAATATTAACGTAGCAAACTCTTCTATATAATACAGCTGTTATCAGAAGGCAACACGACTAGCAATCGAACATACCCGTAATCTCTGAAAATAATGCTGCCGACACCCTCATCCAAGCTGAGGCTGTGACCTCAGTATGTAGCAGCTCGAAGCTAGTCTTTCAGCATGTATCCTGTATTTGCAAACCGGACTCACAGCACACATGCATGTTTCTTGCAAGCGGCCAGGTGTTGCAACTGTAACAGCAGAGTCATCAAGGTGATTTCGCCGTTTGAACCACATCTGCGTGATCTAATTACGAATTTGATGGCAAATACCATCTCCGTATCACACTTCGTCCTTCTGTATGATGTCTAGGAAACGATGGGACAAAGCATGTAGCATGACATTGTTGAAACAAGAGAATGTAAGAACATGTGGTATGCCGCAGTGTGCGTGCATAAACTTGATACATTTGCACAGTGTTCTGTGGTGGGTGTGCACTGTCATACACGCGGATAGCAACGACGCGACATCCAAACCCGATTGGACAGGTTGGCAAACCTCTAACGCTGCCCCATCACTTCTTGACGATGCGCTTCATCATCTTGGTGGCAGGGGTCTTCTTGACGTGGCGCTTGATCACCTGGGTGGAAGGGGTCTTCTTGTCCGCGAAGGCGCTTTTAGAAGTCGCAGAGGACGCTCGTGGGGATGATGCTGGGCGTCTGCACGTGTACTTCTTGCAAGCTGGGCGTTTGAGCAAGCCGCTTGTCACAGCAGCTTGCTTCCTGGCGGAGAAGGGGTTCAAATGATTGCGGTAGCCTTGACGAGTCAAGTCATTGTGCTTCTGCGCGTACAGCAAGACGTGGAACGCGTGAGAACGTGGCGACTTTGTGTTGAACTGCGAGGCATAACCGCGAAACCAAGCAAAGGTTTGCTCGGCAATGGAGGTGTTGATGCCCTCCAGGCGGTTGTTCAAGGTCTTGTGCTGCAGAGGAGAGCATGGACAGCCAGGAGCATGGCCTGTGGCGTGGAAGCGATCAACGCACCAATGCTTAATGTGTTTGGTGCGTGCGTCTTTCCGGCCTTGCTGAACGCATCTACAGGCTCTGTCATAGACAACGCAGTCCAGTTGCGATGACCTCATCGCCACGAGATGGAGGACATCCAGGGCCACCTGATCATTCTCTGGTTGCTGCATTTCTTGTGCTGCAGCTATGAGCCCTGTGCGAGGATCTATGGCCATGAACCAGCCGTTATTACGAAGTTTCTCCTTGCCGTCTTTCCGGGGTCTTCCGGCATGCGGTGGAGGCGCACCGGAGCATTTCGTGGCCACTTTCTCATGACCATCAAGAACAATCTCCTGGATGGACATGTGCTCGGCGCGCGTCAGCTGATGCTTGTGCCACCAAGAAGTGTAATCCGCCATGAATGTGTCGTTGAGTGGATTGTCCAGGTCGATGGCGGCGAGCTTGTTCTCGGCGTTTGTTGATCGGGCCCACATTTTCTCAGCTTCGCGGATCATGTAGTAGTATAAGCTGGCGATACTGTACGCTTGATTCCAGCTCGCATGCTCGTTTTCATCTTGCCATAAGACTTCTTGTTCTGCCCATGCAATGGCATTGTTGCTGACACAGCCGCGAAACTGGAGTGCATCATGGTACTCCAGGAACTCCTTTGCGAAGGCGGTGTTGCTGTTGACAAAGATGACGTCCATCTGATCATGTCGCATTGTGTCAAGCTTCTTGCCACCCTGTTTCCTGTAGTTGTACAAATGTCGTATGCGACAAGACTTCGACGTGCAGCGCATGGGGATGTGCTCAACTTCGTGTACACCCTGCAAAGTGTATAATCTGGCTGCCATAACGTCAGCAGACGCTAAGGTAGACTGACACTTCACACACTGTTGCAAGGTGTTCGAAAGGAAACGCGGAAATCATCATGAACACCCGTCGCAGTACCCTCAAGCATGTAGGCACGATTGTTCTCCATGGGAATGCTGTGGGGAATGTTCCGAAGTTGAAACCATGTCAACCCAGAAAGTTGACAGCACAAGGATGCCAGGCCATGTGCAGCAATGGACACTCTACGTGCACCTGCAGTACATACACATATACATATACATATACATATATATATATATATTCAATCTTCTCGAGACGCGAGGTGGGTTGAATGCAACGGCGGCCCGAAGGCCCCAAGTCCGACGGCCATAACTGAGGGACTTTCTTGGCGGCTGCTACCTCCGCTCCGTAACCAAGCCCCCTCAAGTCAGCCTAAACATCAAACGTACTCAAAACCTTAGATGGACCCTTGCATGGGCTAAGCTCCTTACCCTACGGTCCGACACGTTCAAAGTCTCAAGCCGGAAGACCGTAAGCCGCAAGTCTTGCCCCCTCAAACTCACAACCCTAAACTTAAAACCCAGTGCAGGCAAGCCTAAACCCCCGAAGACCGAAAGCCATGAACCCCAACCACCCTCCTTCACACAGTAGCAAAACGGCGCTCAGAAAGCAAAGACCACCTTAAACCCTTAGATCCAATGTAGAATCCTTTGAGGAGCCCTTTTTTCACTCTTAGATCCCTTGTGGAACCCTGAACCCTAAACCCTTCCGGAACCCTTTCAGGAAACCACCTGCTTCTGAGGATTAGTTCGGCAAGAGATGCAGATCTCGAGCTTGCTGACCAGCGAGAAGGATCGGGTTCGTAGGTTTCGGTAAGGTTCTATAAGGGATGTATCAGGCACCCAGAATGATCTACAGGGGTTTGGGTTTAGGGTTTTCGGCTTCGGGTTTAGGGGATGTGATTGGGGGCGAAGGCTCTTATCTTAGGTTTGTTTTGCCTTGGGGTGGGGGTTTATGGCTCCGGGTTTCTGGTTTAGGAAAAGCTCCGGTGTTAGGGCTCCGGGCTCAGCGGCGTAGCGTTTGTTGGTTGCGGGTCGAGGGCTTGGGACGTGCCGGCACAGCAAACTGAGTGTCGAATTCCTACCAACGTTCCAGCACATTAGGGGGCATCATGAGGGGCAAGAAGGCGACCAGCGCGAGTGGAGCCCCAAAGCGCGGAGGAAAGCTGTGAAACCAAAAGTCCCATGCTTCTGCTGCCCTCCCTGGGTTCGAACCATCGAACCCGGAACCCTTAACTCTCGGCCCAAGCACTCCTCGCTACTCTTGCTACTGTTTCCACCGAACATATGGCACAAGCATGTACGTGGCACATTACTTCTGGGTTTTGTGGTTCCCTTCGTCTTGGCGCGAGGACTTCGCCGATCAGCTGGAGAAGGCTCAGCTGGAGGTCGCTGCTGTTAAGAAGGCCCGGATATAGGGATTAGCGGGTGGAGTCATCAGAGGCCCTGAGAAGTCGGGTTTTGGACTACAAAGGCCACCTCTAAAGAATAAACTACCGAGACCTACTCCTTGCAGGATTTTCCGTATCAACCCCGATACAGAAAAGGTAGTGGTCTTCCAAACTTGTGGTTTCGGCCAGGGTTTCAGGTTACCCAAGACTGTAGGTGCAGAAGTGATGCTTCAGCAGCCTGCAAAAGGGGGGCACAATGTCGACGCTTAAGCTCCAAACCCTGAGCCTGTTGAGTTTGGTGGTTGCTGGGTGACCAGGCCAAGGTGCAGAAACTCGCAGTGCCAGTTGTCCTGATGCTCGAAACCATCGCAACGGTTGTCTGAGCCGCCGAAGCACTTGCAGCAGCATGAGGAAACGGAAGCGGAAGAGTAGCGAGGAAGGCAGAGGTGTGCCGGCAGGAGCAGAAGTCGCCGTAGTCAAAGATGGTTATCGTTACGCCATTTTTGCCGGAATTCGTCGCTTTTCTTCTCAATGTCTTCGCAGTTCTGATCGTGTTTCCTTGTCTTCTTGAGGGCCCTGTTATCGCAAAATGACTCTTTTGCTGTTATTGTTGCTGCTGCTTTCTTGTCGCGGCTGCTAGCTGCCACAACGACAGCGCGACGACGACCGCGACGAGTCCCCTACGACAACGACTACGGCTGCGCCACACATAGGACTACGACTATCTGCTACTGCTCCCACTTCTGCTAAACCCTAGACCCTAAACCCTACCGCTACTTCCACAAAACGGCTCCCCAAACTGGGTTTCCGCCCCGCACAAGGAGCGGAACCGCCTCGAGGGCAATCACGAGATCACCAAGGCTCCCTTCGATCTGCGGATTTGGGAGTTTCCGAAAATTAGGGGTACCTTATTTTGGGGTCCTTCTAATCAGGATCCTGCTATTCAGGGTACTATATTAGGGTCCTCTATTTTCGGAAACTCCCATTTAGGGTTTATGGGTTGGGGCTTGAAGGGTCTCTGAGATGTGCCGCATCCTGTGTTGCCGGGGATTTCGATGCCTGGGTGGGTACATATTTAGTCCACGTGCCGAGAAGGGCGCGCTTTCTTCGTGCAGTTGCTGTATTCCGGCACCTACTCAGACAAGAACCTCATTCACAAAGTGCTTCGCTGTTCTGATTATTTTGTGCTTAAACTTAAACCTGATTCTTGGGCTTTGGGGTTTGGGGTTTACTTATTTTTGGGAGGGTTAGTTTTTTCCGATGCAGGCCTGGGTTTCGGTTTTCAGGTTTAGGCTTTAGGTTTTCGGGTTCTGGGTTTCGCCCCACGCCCTGACGCTGCCTCGTTGCACTTCGGAAGCCAAGCCTTCGATTGATGTAGGGCGCAGGGACCCGAAGTCACAGTCCTGTGCCACTGTCAAGGCCCCCCCGTCGAGAAAGTCTGGGTTTAAGGGCGTATCCGGATAGGCGCGTGCATGATCAGGCGACGCGGTGAAACTCGAAGTCCCAATCCAAAGCGCTACTGACTACTGCACTTCATCACTATAAGCCTTATACTCCGTCAAACCTTACGGCCCGCACTCGAAACCCCAAAGCCTTGTGGGCCAAAAACTCTGAGAACTTACACCCCTAGTTAAAACTTTCAGCCGCAGCCCGACAGCCATTCCTGGGGAGGCTGCCGTTTCCAAACTCCGGGATGATGTCACCGCAGTGCAAGGTGCGAGTTGTTCTCTACCGGGTGTCCTCAATAATATACGGGCCTATATAGTTACCTATACTATTTTGGGGGTTCCTGATTCTATTTATAGTATATTGGGCACCAATCGACATACGCTCAGTACTCTTAGCAATCGAGCTCTCAAACTTTTTTTTGCCACCTAGGTTTGGGGGTGGGCAGATTTGAGAACATGCCATGTCAATGCTTGATACGCTTACGCTCCAGGGTAGGTTCAAAACTGGGCATCTTTGGTTCAGAATCCTGATTTCAAGCACGTTTGAGGGAGTCCTGATTCGTGCGACCTACTAAAACGCAGTTAATTCCCTTAAAACCCATCAAAAAGACCTTTAAACTCCCAAGCTGGGCTGGATGTATCGGTCCTGGCAGCTGCAGTGACAGCAGCGATACAGAAAGGCACCTCGTTGCAGCAATAGCGGAGGAGGAGAAGTGCTGCTGGTAACAGCAATACAAGCTGTGATCATGTTGACTATAGTGATACCGAAGACACTGACAATCGTGGAATTACGCACCAAAAGATAACAAGGAGTGTTTTTCACGTTAATGGTGCCAGCAACAACCCACGAAGACCTAGCCTTGGTCTCTGCGATAGTCAGCAATACAGACGTGATAGCAGCGATAATGCTCAGGATTGTGCGACTGACATTCGCAACAATCCTCGCCGCCCGAACCTCAAAACCCCAAAACCCGAGACCCCTAACCCCAAAGCCTTGAATCCAAAGCAGCATGCCAAGCCCAGGTGCACTAGACGACCTGACTCATGCAGTGAAAGAAAGTAGCTTGTCGGAATGCTGGCCATTGAAGTCATTACGATTCTTAGTCTCGGGCTTGCAGTGTCTAGGCAGGGTTGAGGGATGTGGAGGCTCGCGATTTTATCTAGGAGCTTTGGATGCTTGCATGTGCCGATGCTTTGTTACGCTCAGTAGCCTGATCATGCTTCTTCAAGTGGCACGGGCCTTGAAAGTGTTGGCTTGTGGAGGGATGGTGAAAGGGTTAATGTCGAGTCAGACGAATGGAGTTCGCCTTTTCTCGTAAGCGCTTTGGGGCCGCGTCTTGCTGAGTCTTGCTTGCACGATCGCCTGAACTGTTTATCAGATCCTACGCATCTCTCAGTCCCCTTCTCGCAGTCTCTGTGTGGCTTGCCGGCAGTCATTGGCCCCAAATTCCCTTAAGCCCGGGACTCATGCTCTTGTTGCAACACTTTGAACAACGTAAACCTCTGCCCACATAGTCGATTGCGTTTTTTCGAAAGGGGGGCAGATCATCAACAGACAAAATCTTAGAGCTTACAGGCATCCCTAAGACTTGTACGAATGACTACGCCTCTCGGGAGCAGCAAAGACCTCAAGCCCAAGTCTCGTAAGTCCGGCACCCAAGGCAGAAGTTCAAATGACTTCCGCGGATTAGGGCTGGCCGGAGCTTAGGACTCCATAACAAAGTTTGAAACCCTACAGGCCCTACAGCTGAGCCCCGCGGCCCCAAATACTTGAGAAGCCCGAAACCCGGCTTTAGCAAACCTCCGAAATCCAATCCAGGCAGTTCGCGAACTGCCTCGTGTCAGTCGGACCTTCCGGAAGTGGAGAGACGCACCCGGGCCCAGAAAGAGCAAAGATCCTAAGCCCTGGCACGCCCACCTCAACCCGAACCCTCAGCCTCAACCCTCTGAAACCGTAAACCCCAAACCCACAACCCTGCCTGCCGAAGGAGTCAAAGGTGCATTACACTTTAAAAAGCCCACAACCCGAGACCCTTCAAATTCTAAATCCTGATGGCGGATTGTTACAGTTGAACCGCCGGAGTCCTGAGGAGACGGTAGAGTCTCCCGGTAGAGGATCTCTTCTTTGGGATTCGCGCGAGGCTCCTACAAAGGGGGGGGAGGTATTATAATATAGGATCCTAAATAATTACGAACACTATTTTCGGGTTCTTTTTTATACTCAAAGTATAATGGGCCCCAAAACCCTATTCTAATTATTGAGGCCCCTATATTGCGCTTAAGGTCGCCGGAAACAGCAGTATCAAATCAAGGAGACACGTAAAGAGATGAGAAGACTGGTGGTCATAAGCCTCGTTCCTTGTATCTGTAGTGACATTTCTTGTTCAATTTACGCAGGAAAGAGCAACGTAGGAAAAAGCAGAGAAAAGCGACGTAACATAGGGTTCAGGGTCCGCAACCCACAACACTAATCTCTTCATCCTGAACATTCCTGAACCCGAAAGACTAAGCCTTTAGTCGACCAAAGGACTCATCGAGCGCTTCGATACGCGGCTGGACAAGCAAGGCGGGGCACTTTTCTGCAGCTTTCGGGTTTAGGTTTGAGGGGTTTCAGGCTGGGGCTGAGGTTTGATGGGTTCCGGTTTAGGGTTTAGGGTTTAGGTGTTTGGGGTTTCGAGTTTCAGAATGGTGGGTAAAGGCTTTATTCAAGCGTTTGGAGTTTGGATCAGAGTTCATGGCGTTCTGGATTTCAGGAGACTGGGCTTTGGGTGTACTTCGGGCTGAGATGTGAAAGGGTGGTGCCCAGTAGGAGTCCACATATCCAGAAACCCAAAACTCCGTCCGAACAGGCCCCTTACCCTACGTCAATCCTGGCAGGTGTTCGGCCCTAGTTTCCGGCAGCCCTGCGCCGCAGGCAGAGCTTGCAAAGACCTCAACGAGAGGATGACGGAAATCCAGAAGCAATGCCAGCAGGCGAAGACCCTGAGTCCCCCGGCCAAGAGGCAGCAGGAACTTTCCTTGTTCCTTTGGGTGTTGAGTGCCGGGCTTCCGGTTCCGGGCGTGGGAAGCCCATGAGCTTGCCTCGGGCATCTCGGAAGTTCTATACGACTCCTCTTTGAGGTCCCCGTACTTTCCGACAAGAGCAGCCGAAGAAGGGTTTGGAAGGATAAGCGCTTTAGGGCTGAAGGTTCAGGCTTTAGGGTTTAGGGGTTTAGGGTGTAGGCTTCAGTTGGGGTATACCTAGCAGTGACCCTAGTTTCGACATCTCATGCTTGGCGTTGCTCTTGTCCCGCGCCTGATGAACCAGATAGTTGCTGAGACTTGTTTGCTTACCCGTGGGTAAGCCTCCCGATACTTGATGCGCTCAGATACTTGATGCGTTGTTTAATCTCGACCGGTCCCACCGCCCATTGCAACAGTTCGCACCAAAACCCCGAATGCCTGGGTTTGTCCTAAACCCTCAACTCCGCACCTTGAAACCTCTTAATCCTGCATCTTGTAGGCTGGCCCTGTGCTAAATCCTGAAGCCCCTGAAAAATTCAGCTAAACTTTAGCTTTACACATTACATTCATTACATACCACAAGGCCAAGCCCATACCCCAAACCCCAGGCTAGTAAACACCGCAAAATCCTTGGAAATGAGCCCTTATCAACACAAGTCTGACACCCAGGACTTCAGGGTTTCGGGTTAAGATCCTGAACCCAAGTCTTTCTTTCCGCATCCGCAGCCACTGAGGCGAGAAAGCGCTTCTAAGCTGCAGCGCTGACACTTCGGGATTTGGAGGTTTCGGGGTTGGGCTTTCGGGTTCAGATGCTGATGGCTTAGATTAGAGGGCCACGCCGATTTTCCTTTTCGGAACTCCCGCACCCTAAACCCTAAACCCTATAGTGAAAGCCCGACAGCACCTGAAACTGCAGCCTGCTACTGCCACTACTGCCACGTGGATAGTTCTCTAAATTAGGGGTCCCTTTTGGAGTCATTTTTACAGCTGGGCCGTAATATATTTGGGATCTAAACAGGGACCCTAGTTTTGAGAACTACCCACATGAAAGTTCTCAATCCCTGTACTGCTCTGTGGCTGAGGGTTTGGGGTTGTCAAGGTTACTTGAGCCCGAAGCCTTGCCAAGGAATCTCAACACGCCTGTGTCTCAGCACTTTGCACCAGGGGTGGGAAGGGACCTAGGAGCTTCGGAGTTTAGGAGCTTCGGAGTTTAGGCTTTAGGGTTTAAGGTTGAGGGTTTTGGGGGGTAGGGGGGGGCACAGTGCCACTTTAATTAGATGCAAGTTAAGCACTATTATTGTTATTATTATTATTATTACTATTACTATTACTATTATTACTATTATTATTATTATTATTACTATTATACAAACAATCATCACAGCAAAGGTTCAGTATTCAGGTACAGGAGTTCAGGGCTGTGCTTGGACACTTCAGATTCTTGGGACTTAGGCGCGTAGCTGGGGTCCACGGTCTCATGGCCCTTCCTTGCGCCCCAAAAACGTTAAGTCCGAAGCATGCGAGGGGATCATGAACCTGTTATCGTTAGAGACGACACGGTGCAATTTCTGGCTACTATTAACGCAGAGGAGACTTAGATCTGATGAAGCTACTGTCAGCCGGTCGGTCGGAACCGACCTGCCACGATAGCGCCGGCAGAGCAGCAGTCGTCCTAACAGTGCCCAGAAGCTAGAGCAGTGCTAGAAGCCGAAACAGCAAGAACCTCGAACTCCTACATCCTATACCCCCTACACCCCAACCCTATACCCCCAAAGTCCACAGCGTCCGACCTGACAAGGAGCCAGTTCACAAGTCGCCTGGACGCGTCCAAGAAGGATGCAGCGGCAAATGTGGCAGGCTCTTCTGGAGCACATGCTTCAGTCGACGGTAGGTCGGGCTAGTGTCGCGAACGAAATGTGCTGTGATTAGGTTTGGCGTGTCGCACCTTGAGTGAAAATTGGTTTCCAGTGGGCCACAGGCAAAGAATGTGCGCTCCTCCCGTCTGCAGGGATGTTCGGTCTGTTCCTCCCAGCCTCTCTGCAATTTTCTGGCAAACCGAAGCCGAACCGAAACCCAAACTCTAAGCCTTTGAAGCCTGGGCCAACATCCTGGAGACTCGTAAGTTCCTTGTGCTGCAGCCCCATGTGCCTGATCTCACGATTCTTTGTTTAAACAGATGGCCGTGGTCCGGCACCCCGCCCGCTAACCCCAGCAGCCGCGGATGTCGACCGAGTATGCTTGTAAGCAGACCAAAACGGAGAGAACTGTTGGTGATCTTGGTAGCCGGAGGAAGGCTGTGGCAGCAGTAGCAGCAACTCCAAAGACCAATTCGGCTCAACACGGCGTTGCAGCATCACGGCTTATATAAGATGGAATATATATATATATATATATATACACATACATGTGTGTATATCTATATCTATATCTATATCTATATCTATATCTATATCTATATCTATATATATATATATATATAGATAATGTATCAGAGCGGTTTCCAAAGCTATCACGGCGAAGCAGAAACCCGACTCTGAAGGCTTGCAGAAGGAGATGGCTGAGGTGCAGGAAGTGGTCCAGGGTTTCCATGCCACCTGGCCGGAGTCCAGATCGGCTCGTCACTTCAAGACTTCGAGACATGGACATTTGGAACGCCTCAGAGACTGTGAGTGAGTGAGTGCTTGAAAAGGTTGAAGATTCCTTGCTGTCTTACCTTGTGCGATTCTCTGGATGTATATCTTTTCCCTGAGCTGCTCAGCATAGCCATATATTGCAGAGACATCACAATACAATTTGTGCATCACCATGCTGTTGTTGGTAACTATACAGGGTTATTGTCGCATCGGCATGATGTTGCGCTGTTGGTTGACTTGTGTGTTCTAAGCTCTCCACTCCAGGCCCTCAATCTCAAACCCCACACCCCAGGCCCTCACTCGGAAACCCATAAACCCTAAGCAAGCCACCCTCCCAGGAAGCTGTGCAGTCTCAGTCAAAGGACCTAGGGACGTTGGACCGTGAGGCCACCCGACAACAGGGGGTTGTGAAGAGTCTAGGGGGAACTGGTTCCGTTGGTTTCAGGTGGGGTTCAGGAAATAGTTTCGGATTAGGGCTTAGTTTTGACTTCTTAGGTGCAAGTTTAGTCAAGTATTCGTTGCGGACGCTTCGATCTTTGTTCAAGCATCTGGTATTGCCCTGAGGGTCGTGATGTAACAAATCTTTCGGATGCCTCGCTGTATGACAACTCTCTCTTACGTATATAACTGTACTGTATGCCGGGTACCTGAATGCGTTTTGTTGATGTTTTTATAGGGGGGAATACGAGATGGGAATCTCTGCTTTTAAAGTTTTGGTTTCTTTTCATCGTGGGAATACGAGATGGGAATCGTAGATGCATCGCGGGGAACAGGACGGGGACAGGGCACGTTCGGGTCCAGAATTAAGCCCTAAATCCCAAGCCCGGAAATTAGACTCGTAAACCCGGAGCCTCGAGTTCCGAAACACCCAACCGCCCAACTTCATCGCCACCGAGAGCGCAATATGGGGGGCCTAAATACTTACCAACAACTATTTCCTTATTATAAGTGTCGTATAGTGGGCCCCAAAACCCCTAAGGAGGCCCCTATTATTTATGCAGGCCTGAATCCAAGTTAAGTTGGCAGCTCCGAGAGCTTCCTTTACAAGCTTAGGCATTCGTCGGGTTCCTTTGAGGGCTTCAAAAAGGGTTTTGGGTCGAGAGTACAGAAGGATGAATAATTAGCCTGGGTTCTTTATCATCGCTATACTATAGCAGACTCCAACACCCTATTCTAATGATTGAGGCTCATACCATACATAGGTAGTTGTCAAAATTATAGTTCCTTTTTGGGTACCCTAAGTCTGAGGTGCCGTACTATATCAAGGCAAAAAGGGACCATAATTTTGACAACCACCCACATGTTAGAGAGTTGGGCGTGTCTTGAGTTTTGCAGTCTTTCACAAGAGGCCATTCCTTGACAGCAAGTCTCAATGAGATTCTGGGTTAGGGATCTAGGGCTAGGGTTTTCTTTGTATTCATCTGCCCTGCGACAAGAGATGACTTGACATCCGTTTCCTGCAAGTCCCTTCTGGGCTATTTCCTCCCGTGGTCTGGTACTCAAAGTCTTTAACTCCTCTCAACATATCCTGCATAGTTAGATTGTGGTCTGTAGTCTTCAAGCCCTGCAGGCTCCTACTCAGTGTTGTTAACCGCCTCCTATCAAGCATCTTTGCAAGCAGTGTGCCGATTCCAAGCTCCTATGCCTCAGACCCTCAGTGAACGGGTTTGGGGTTTAGGTTCGAGGTTTAGGGTTTAGGGAAATCCTACGTCAACCGCTGAAAGGTGCAGCACCTTCGCACCTGGACGGAGCAGCTGAAAGAGCTCAAGTCCCTGCACGAGGAGCAGGCAAGGATTCCGTTCAGGGCTTGGGGCCTTGGGCATTAAGGGACTACGATAGCAGTGCAGGGTTTCATCTATCGCTCCAGGAGTATGTGTTGACAGTATTGCATGGATCCGGTTTTATACACCCGTTATTCAGTTGTGTTTTATTGCAGTATTCGATGCCGTGATGTCATGCCACTCGGTCAAAATACGAGCAAGCTGGTGTAAACTGGTGGGATTGTTTGGGTGGTGGGAGGTGTCCAAGGCTTCTCATCGCGTGTCGTTGTTGGAGCCGTCTAAGAACGTGGTGCTTAAGCAGGACACCAGTAGATGAAAGCTGCAACATGAGTTTGTACAGCTTGAGGTGAGTCATGGTCGAAGAATAACAATGATTTTTCTGCATGGTGTCATCAGTGCCCATGTAGATCTACGGTGCTTGTGTCATCTGGTCCCCAGTCTTCTGTCACCAACCGCTAAATCCTAAACTCCACAGCAGACCCACCCCAAACCCTGAGAGCTGTTCGGGGATCGAGCTTTGTAAGCCTGTCTCGACAACTCCGGGTTTTAGTGGGTCCCAGTGTTCCTTTCACAACACATGTATCCCTAAGTCCTAAGTAGTAGCGAGCCTTGAGGCACCTGACACAGCATTAAATGTGTTAGTTCATTGAAAGACCTGGTGCATGCCAACAGAAAAGCTTCTTGCGGAAGGCGGCGGTGCAAGCCAATGTGCAGGACGGACCTTAGGGCGCCATTTCGCCAAAGCTTTCGGGCCAGGGGTTTCGAAATCGCAAGACATCGCAAGGCAATTTTGGAGTATGAGTAAGCTGTGTTGACTTCAACTTTTGTCAATCAGGAATGCGCCCCCTGCGTAACTACAAGGTTTGCACACGTGCGAGTCGGGGCCACGGCTAGAACTCGAGACTGCATGGCAGCAACAACAGCTGCAACACCACTGATACCACCGCGACCACCACCAACGCGAGGACGACGACTACGACGACGCCTGCTGCTGCTACTTACTTAAAGCTATTGCGACTCCCACTGCACTGCTGCTACTACTAATGCTACTACCACTGCTTCTCCTACTCCAACTCCTGCTGCTAGTTCCACTGCTGCTGCGCTGCTACTACCACTCCTCCGCCTTCTCCTTCTCCTCCCGCTACTCCTGCTGCAGCTCCTACCGCTGACCACTGCTACCAGCAAGACCTCTCCAGAAAGGACCTTGCGAGACGCGTCTCGGCAGCTGATCGGAGCCTCGCAGAGCTCGCAGCACGCCCGAACGACGAGGCCGAGACCTGTCGGCAGGGCTTAGGGTTTGAGGGATGTAATATTTCAGGCAAGGGTCTGGCGGCAACAGCTGCTAGGTTTAGGATTGCTTTTCATGTTTTTGGTTCGTTTTAAGCACGAGGGCGCAGGTGTAAGTTGTCCGAGCCTGTGGGCAGTTTGCAATCAGGGAGTCTCTGTCTGCGTGTGTGTGTGTGTGTGTGTGTGTGTGTGTGTGTGTGCGCGTGCGTGTTGGTGTTTGTGTGCGCCGGTGCGAGTGTCCTTCCAAGCCCAGAAGCGGCTGGTGTCCGGGTTCATGAAACCATTTCGCTTTGTATTGAACAGCTGTCCTCTTCCGTCCAATGGTCCCTGTCAGGTACTAGCATTACATGCACCATTGTCCGAGATTGCCGCACGCTCCCTTACAGCCTTCTGGCGACGCCAATCGAAGACGTAAACTCTGATCTCCTGAACCCCAAGTCTCAGCAGCGATCCACACCCCTATAGCCGATCGCCTCAGCGCTAAACCCCATTCAGCCCCATACCCAAACCGTAACACTCATCCTACTAATGGGAAAGAATAAATAGGCTTCGTTTCTGTAGAAGACCCCCAAGCCCTATGTTAGTTGTTCTTAGTAACACTAACCCTATACCCTGAATCATCGCCAGGTCGAGACGTGCCGGGAGGAGATCCGTTTACTGCAGCAGCGCATTGATCAGAACATAGCCGAGGCCTGCTGAATCTTGTGTGGATTGTATATGAGGGTTTCTTGGATTTGGGGGGCCTTATCTATTCACTTAGGGAATGCCCGTTACAAGCATTCTAGAATTTGGGCTTTGTGAGTGTTAAAGTCCCTAATTGGTCACCATGCACGAAATCGTAGACGTGAAACACAAAGACCGGAACTCGCGCAACACACGGGGGACATTTGCCCGCCTAGTCAAACAGGTTCTGAGATTTTTCAGAAAAAACTACAAGAATGTTCCTGCCTCCCGTGTATTCCACACACTCGATCACTTTCAGGCGTAGCCTATTAAAAAGCAACAGCCAGTTTTAGATTCCAGCCAGCTCCAAGCCTGAATTTCCGTGATCACGCAACTGTCCTGCAAAGCCAGCTCCGATTCTCCACGCGCCCGAAGCCTCGAACCCTCAGCCCTGAACCTGCACCTGAAGCCATAAAGCCTCGAACCGTAAACCCTAAACCCCAAACATTAGAGGGTCTGTCTTGGCCTAGGCAGCGCCCTCTGCCTGATAGACTGACAGAGGGAACAGAGGGCTCCACAAAACAATCCTCAGAGGGTCCTGAATTCTGGGAAGGTCCTGCGAGGGAAAGACGCCCAGATCCCAGGCAGCAAAGGGCCGAAACTTCGCTGAGGGTGGGTGCAGGATTGGCAAACCCGTCTTGGTTACGGTTTACATGGACCAGCAAATGGCCAAGGCACATTGACACCTGCGTCCGTGCAGGACTATTAGGTTTAAGTGCTCACGCTTCATCAACAGTTTCTTTGCTATCGTGGCTTGTGGGGTTAGGGCTTTGTTTAATGTGTCATGCTTTTGGGGTAAAGGCTTCAAGGCTTGGCGGTTTTGGTGTTTAAGGGTTTAGGGTCTAGGGCTAGAGGGTTTAGTGCCTTTGTGGTGTTTGAAGGGGGTGCTTTCTAAAGGTTTAGGGTTCTCTGTTCAGGGCTTCATTGTTCGCAGTTTTAGGGCATGTGTTACTATTTCTAGGTTCAGGGATTTCAGGTTTTCGTTTTTTGGGGTCTTGGTTTGAAGCTCCAAGACTTAAATCTTGGCTTCGAGTCTGGAAGCTTGAACCCTAAACGATACGTCAACACGGATCCACGAGCCCCTGGGCGCTGGGATCCTGCGCAGTTGCGCAGTTGCGCCTGGATCACTCGAATCTCGAAACCCTGAATCGAAGCCCTAAGCACTTTCCAATATGCGTAAGTAGACTTACACATATACATAACTAGATCGAGAAATTGGACATTGAATGGATAGGCAAATAAATGCATATATTGCTGCATAATCAAACTGATACAAGAACACATAAATGATTACATGAACGAACCACTAGGTCGATAGATCGATCAGGCTAGGTTACGATAGATTTTCGGGTTGGCTCACTTTTAGACAGACAGATAGGAAAATACAGGCAGATAGATAGAGAGCTAAGAATAGACCGACAGGTAGGTTGACAGATAGATAGTCTGAGAGCCAGGTAGATACAGAAAGGTTGAAGCAAGCATCTGGACAAAGTAGTTTAAATACATGAATACATAACTCCATAACACAGACACTGACACCAAGAAGACATAGACACATGTACAAAGCGACAGAGACAGACTGCGGGACTTTGGCGTCTTTGGACTTCCTCTCGGATATTCCATGCGGGCAGGCAAGCATCAAACTGTAGGTCCTGCATCTTCTTTACATCACTGCGCCCAACATCCGTGCAAGATCTTCAATCATATTCTCATATTAATTACCGCCTTCCACATCCGCTTAAAGGATCCTAAACCCTAAACCCTGAGCCCTAAGCGTACCAAGGAAAGCGCAGTTGGACCTCCTTGGCAGTGCCAGCAACCGCCTGGAAGACTTGGAGGTCGACCTGGAGCTGGGATTTTAGGGTTTTTAGCAGTTTCATCCTTAGGGTTAGGGTTTAGGGTCTATTGGGCTTTGGAGGTGCTGGTTTTTGCCGAGTGCTGGCATTGGCATTGTTCTGGGCTGACGAGTTTAAAACGAGTGACAGGAGTTGCTCCTGTTACAGTGGTGCTTGACTGATGCTAGTGTTACCGGTATCCCAAAGACTAGCTTGCTATTACGATTGCAAAGCTTGCAATCGCTAGCAGGACCAGTATTGATGCTGCCTTTATACTCAGTATTAGGTTCATCCTGCGGTCGTACCTGGAGTGCAACAGGGAGGACTGTCAGATCCCATGCACAGCGTACCGGAGCTGGTTACGGGCTCCAAGGTTGCCCTCGGTGGAGGGCTTCAAAAACAGAAACTATGCGCAGAGACCTTGTTCCTTGTTCCATGGGTTCTTCAATGTTGAAGTGGCAGCTTTTATCCGTTTCAGTGGTAGTGGTAGTGGTAGTGGCAGCGGTAGCATCAGGGGCAGTGGCAGTGATGCTAGTGGTAGTGGTGGTAGACGAAGTAGATGAAGAAGAAGTAGATGAAGCAGCAATAGAATAAGAACGCCGCCGACGACCTGCGTTGCAAAAGCCCTGCTCCAAGTCCCAAATGCCAAAGCTGCGAAGCTCTGCTCGACCTGACGAGGCCGAAGTGCCGCTACTGCGAGGGCGAGAGCCCGAGACAGCCGGACAGTTCAGGGTTGACGGGTTGGGGCTTCAGGTTTTGGGTTTGTAGGGTTCAGACAAGAGTTTTGGATGGATACAGAATCGCTCATCTATGTCGATGTTCAGACTTGCACCTAAGAAGCGCAGCGGCGAGCCACTGCTCAACGACGCCGAAGCTAAATCCAGGGCCCTTGAGCTTCTAGCGGTGGGTTGGCCAGGCAAGTGGCACAGGCGACCGACGAAGTCGAGGCCTTTCTGGAAGTGGTGGGGTTTCTGTAAGGCTGGAATTCTAGGGGTTGGCAGTTTCGAGGGGTAATTAGTCGAGTGGTATCCTGAAGCCCGAGACCGAAAGCGAAGACCTTAACTCTGAAAATACTCTAGTCACTCTTGCCGTCCAGTGATCATAACTGTTGAGCATTCAGCTGGGCCCGTCATGGAAGTGTCGAGGGGCGCCACTGAAGCATTGCACACACGCAGGATCCTACTTCTACTTATACTTTTGCCTGTACTTCGACTCCTGCGCTTCTACTACGACGTCGACGACGACGACCACCACTTCTACTACTGCTGCTGCTGCTACCACTACCACTACCACTACCCCACTACCCCACTACCCCACTACCCCACTATACCCCACTATACCCCACTAGACCCCACTAGACCCCACTAGACCCCACTAGACCCCACGACCCCACGACCCCACGACCCCACGACCCCACGACCCCACGACCCCACAACCCCACCAGCGCCACCACCACCACCACCACCACCACCACCACCACCACCACCACCACCACCACCACCACCACCACCACCACCACCACCACCGCCACCAGCGCCACCAGCGCCACCAGCGCCATCAGCGCTACCGCTACCGCTACCACTACCGCGACTGCTACCGCCACCACCACCACCACCACCACCACCACCACCACCACCACCACCACCACCACCACCACCACCACCACCACCACCACCACCACCACCACCACCAGCGCTACCGCTACCGCTACCGCTACCGCGACTGCTACCGCGACCACGACCACGACCACGACTGCGACTACGACTACGACTACTGCTACTACTACTGCTACTGCTAGTGATCCGGCTACTGCTACTGCTGCTGCACTGCTACTACTACGATACTGCTGCGATTGCTACCACGACTACGACTACTGTTTGTGCTACTGCTCCCTGCTGCGGCTGCTGCTTCTGCTCTCCTCGAGGATGGTGATGGCTGGCTTGTGGTCATATCGTCAGTATTGCTCTTCCCATTGACTTTATGATTTCTGGCTGCCGGCGCAAGCTGCAACGAAAACCTTCATTCCAAGCCCGGGCCCGGAGCTGTTCAAAGGACACATCTGATAGCGGTTTGACAGTTTTTTGTCTGAGTCGGGTGCGCCGGTCACCATAATTACTTGAAGGCGACTTCCGGTTAGCAAGCCTCACAGAGTTCTGCCAGCCCTTGAGCTAGTAGGTAAGACCCCAGAAACTCTTTAGGATCGGGCAACCCGACGCGATTCATCACAGGCAGCTTAGCTAGCTAGTAAGGCCTTAGTTTCTTCATCTATGGCAACTTGCAGAATGCTGGCGGACGAAACCCGACTCAAGGCTTTAAGCTGAACCCTAAATCCTAACCCTACACCCTTCCGGCCGGGGAGGGTTTCACTGCTTGGCGAAGCGAGACGGGCGAGGTGCGGCAGGGAACGAGGAGATGTCTGAACAGGGCATTGCAGTTTGTCATCGGCTTTGACAGAGTGTTTCCGCAGCTATTCGGAGATGCTGGGTCTAGGAAGAGTTGGGCCCGTGCCACTGTGGCCCGTTAAACCCTAAGCCTCAGACCGCTTCCGTCATCGCTCCCCGAATCTTCCCAGTTTATTGACCTCTACAGCGAACCCAAAGCCCAAACTAACCCCAAAACTCTGAACACTATAGCCCAATTTACGACAGCCACCCCAAACCCTAGTCAGACCCTAAACCCTAGTTCGACCCTAAATCTAAACTCTGTGGCGGGCTTCGGAACTTCTACTCGGGAGTTTCTTAAACATATGGGACCTTGTACGTGGGGTCTTCAGTTTATGGTAAAGATCCCATCGCTCGGGGGTCTTTATGGTAGGGATCCTTTAGAGGGTTTTACAGTAAGCACACTATCATTTGTGGGCTTACAGTAAGGATGCGATTATTTAGAGATTTTAGAGTTCGTACCCAGGTGCTGCAGCCTTGAGCGCCAATCTACATCCATAGTGTCAGGCCCATGGCCAAACTGCGAGAGATTCTAACATCCCTGTGATTTCCTTGACCTTAAACAATCCTGAATGCCCAAGCATTAGACCCAATTAAGCTTTCGAGCGGGCCGGAGGCACTTCGCTCGCTCCAGCGCGATCTCCGGGCGACGGAGGCCCAGTCAGCGCAGACGAAGGCTGGATTTGTCTCGGAGTCTCTCAGAGTTGAGGGCGGGCTTGTGGATGGAGGTCCGGGGTGCGGCAGAAGAAGGATCTTGAAGGCTGAGGTTGGATTGGGGGTTTAGGTCTGTTGCTCTCCTGCCGGTGTTGTTACTGCCAGAGCCACGTTTGTTCTCACGACTGAAGTTAGGCTTGCTGTGAGGGCCACCCAAACTTCAGCAGCACCCCTAAGCCCAACGGCCCTCACACCCGGTTGAGACTCTTGGAAGCCCGACCCAGAGTACCCCTCGTCCCAAAGTACTATAGTAGCCTTAAGAATTACCTATACTATTTTGGGGTTCATTATTACAGTTAGTATAATAATAGGCCCCCAAACCCTATTCTAATTATCAAGGCCCCTATACTAGGTCCCCAATCGACGAGGCGCCCTCAATCCCTCCATCCTTGAACCCAGAGCCGATCGGCGAGGCTGGCTTAACTGCCCTCGCCCGGACCCACGAGGATCCAGCTGAAACTGGGATGGGGCCCGAGGTTTGACGAGTTTTTTGTTACGAGGTTGGTTGTTTTGGGCTCTGTTTTTTTTTTGGGGGGGGATTTTGTCCGTCAGACGAGTGGTGAAACATGCTGCCTGATCTTGTAGGTTGAATGGCTTAGGCTTCGTGGTTCTGTAGGCGACCTCTCTGCAATGAAGGCAGCTTTCCCTAATTATTCCTATGCTTTTTACCTGTTTGGCCTGGTGAGTACTGCTTTTGCGTTCCTGGGATGGGTGTGTCTTCGTGCGATGACGCACTTGGCGGTGTGCGACCTGTCGATCACATCCAAGACAAAGGCATGCAATTCAATTCTGCAGCCCGAATCCGAAACTCCAAGCCTCAACGGCCTTGATCCAAAGTCCTGAATCCCAACCCCAATTCCTAATGCCGTACACCTTGATCCAACGAAAACAATCCTACTGTAGAGGCCTTAATGCTGAGAATAGGGTTTTGGGGGTTCCTTATGATAATCGAAGTATAATATACCCCCAAACCCTATTTTACTGATAAAGGCCCCTACATTAGAGTACCCTTACAGAACCCCTATAGTAACCCCTTATAGACGCCTTTAAAGGAACCCTATTCTAATCATAGAGGCCCCTACATGAAACCCTAAACCCCAAACGCTAACTGTAAACCCTGAACCCTAAGCCCTAAACCCTAAACCCTAAGCTCGCAGGACCTCCAGCAAGAGCAGACCGGTTCTAGGGAGACGCTGGGCAAGCTCGGGGCAGCGCGGACTACAACCGACTCAGTGAATACTATAGGGGCGGCAACATTTAGAATAGGGTTCCTTTCAAGGGATCCCTTAAAAGGGACACTGTGAGGGGTCTATTATCCGGGTTCTAATGTGTGGGGGCCTTACAAATTCCAGTTACGGGTCGAAGGCATCCAGTTTAAGGTTTACGTGGCAGGATACAGAGTTTTTAGGGCCGTTGGGCTTAGAGTTTGCGGCCTAGGAACATCGGGTTTTGGGATGTTCGGGTTTAGGGCGATATCGTTGAGGATTTATGACTTCGTGTGTGGGCAGCAGGTACTTAGACAATCATCGAGCACCTAAACAAGTACCGCCAGCCTTAGCCTCCATTCCAAACGTCCATCATCGTGTTAATAGACGGTCTGCTTCTGTGGAATCAAATACTGAAAGCTAGAGTTTCCTTAAATCCGCCCCGAAAGTTTAGGCCTAAAGCCCGTCAATCTCTGAAGCCCAAAGCCCAAACGCCCTAAACACGAAACCCGAAAAGCTTTAAAACGCTGCTGTCGCAAAAACGCGAAAATTTGAAGTCCGAATTTCCCAACACGCCCTACATAGACGGCATAATTGGTAGTAGCATCCAGTTCTAAGTAGTCCCGGCATAATCATAGCAAAATACCTACCGAAGAGTGTATTCCAATTATTAAAGCCCCTGTGAAAGCCACCCCACCAGCAAAAACACCTTGCGGCCTTCGTCAGCATAGCTTTCCTAGAAACCGCTTTTTAATGTGCAACGTACATGAATGTACCGTAAACCCTCAACCGTACACCCTAAACTTTCTGCAACATTACGCCCTCAACCTCAAACCCTCCTGAATCCTAAACCTTATAAAAGTTGCAATGAGGATCCTAAGAAGGCTTAAGCTAGAATTCGCCGAGTCCCGCCTGGACCTCCTCAACAAGTATTTCAGCGGTCTTGGAAAAGGCCGGTTGTTCCTGAGTCTAGTCGGGTTTAGTTTGCTTGTTCTTTGTCGGCGGTGGGGGCATTCGTTTTGGTGCCTGCATCAGGTTGGCTTTTAGCGTTGCTGCGTGTGCTTCCTCCTTTCACTGCGGTCCTCGGTCTGCCTCCTCCAGCAGTTGTCATTCGTTCCAGAAGCTGTGCTCTGCTGCATTAGATGCGACAACTGCGCTGAAGGACGCTATCGCTTCGGCGCAGTCGGCCTTTCTTAGAAAGGCACTTTTCTAGAAAGGTAGCCCGTGAATCCGTGCTGTAACTGGCGAAATGAACGCGACTAATCAATCAGTGTAGTGCCATATCCACAGCGAACATACTTCTTCCTGGCTGCTCAACGACGGATGCTCTTAGAAGCCCAACAGGGCTCAATGCAGTGGCCCATCCGGATTGCCGCGCAGGCCTCAAAGAAGCACACCATCAGATTGTCGGTGGGTGGCTCAGTCCTGTGCAATCCTGGGCCCAGATACTAGGGGTGTGGGGTGGGGGGGGGGGGGGGAGAAATTGAATCCATGGCAACCCCCAACAAGGGTGCACCACTAAGAGTTGCTGCAGATGCACGACTGGTGTTGATATCTTCTACATCAAGCCTCACTCTAGCAAAGGCTGTGTGCGCTCCTCGAGCACCCAGCACAGGGAGCAAGGATAAGCGCGGCAACCTTGAGCCGTAGCCCCTAGAACCTCCAGCCTCAACCCAAAGGTCCTTTATGCAATAACGGCTTGAAGCTAATGGCCTTGACAGGCCGGACCGGACAGCTCCAGCAACTTCAAGCCCATAGGAATCCGTAAACCTGGACCTGGAAATCCTAAGCCTGTGCCCCACCCTTTGAAGCAAGGGCATAGATCCAGAAGCAGGATACCAAGAATATGGGAACCCATGGAAAACTTAGCAGAACCATCGACCGTGCATTTCTCAGCCGTCACACCCCAAACCTTCTGGCCCCACAGCCGAACCCACATTCCTAAGCGCCTAGACCCTGCAGACACTCCAGCCTCGAAGCCCTGTGTCCAACAAACCTAAGGGAGGATAAACCCTGGAGACCCAAAACCCTGAAGCAACCAAAATCCGAAAACCGGACCCCCCCCAAATCATAGGGATCCTTAGGGGTGTAGGGGGAGGGGGGGTAGGGGGCCTTAAGGCCCATAATAAGGACTAATAAGGCCTATTTAAGGAAATATAGTCCCCTACACCCCTCCCCCCTACACCCCTAAGGATCCCTATGACCAAACCCCGAGGCCCTGAAAGCGCTGAACTTTCACCGTGGCTGAGGCTGCGACGCGCCACTGCTGCCCAAGACGGGCGGCGACTCGCAGCGCCCCAGCAGCGACAACCCCCTTACCCTAAACCCCAAACCCCCAAAACCCCTAAACCCGTAAACCCCCAAACCCTAAACCCTGGTCGTGTTGGTGGTGGTGGTGGAGGTGGTAATTAGGAGTCGTCGCCGTTGCGCTGAGATTGACACCTTGCCCAGCACTGATTCGTCGGTAGTTGAATATTCGTTGCGAGGGAAGTTCGGGAAAACATCCGCTGTGGTTCAGACAAGCCTTAGGAGAAGTGGAAGCCCTGCCCCCTCCTCAGCCCAAAAGCATCAGCCGTAAAGCCTGCATGGATAATTACAAAGACTATTTTGGTGGTTCCTTAATTTAAGTATGGTGTGCTGGCCCCAAAACCCTATTCTAATTATCAAGGCCCCTAGATTATCCAAAACCTCAATCTCTAATCCCTGTAAACCATTCAACTCGAAACAAGCGAGGCATGCTCTTCCTCCACTGGTTCCACGGACCCCACGAACGGCGAGGACGCCACAGCGTCAAGATGAGTGCTGTGTATCGGGACCTCAACGGCCTTTGCAGAATTCTGTGCGTTTTGCGCCAAGGGCTGCGACTGGTAGAGGTGTCGTGGAGCTAGGGTTCAGGGAAGAGGCCCTTCACTCGCTTCAGCCCTCAACCTTACACCCCTAACCCCGTTAAGTTGAAGGTTTGATGGCATCTCTGGCCATTACCATCACCCGCTGTTAAAGCGACCATAAACGGCTGCAAGGCTTTTCAGGCCCAAGGCCCACGCAGACTTGAATCTGGGACACAGCCACATGCTTCCAGCCCAATGCCCTGTGGCCCTATGAGCTCTGAGCAACTGCTGTGACCTAGACTCTACGCCTCAAGCTCCGCATCTGGAGCCCTACCCGCTCTGTGAAACAAACAGAGCGTGTGAGCGCCCCGACAGGAACAGCCTGCCCTCGCCCAGACCTGGCGAGGCTAAGTGAGTCGATTTGGCTTGGGCTTTTATAGGATTTATTTAGGGTTCCTAAACATCTGGTTTTGCTGAGCTTTATAGGCTTCAGAAATCGTTGCAGATTGCAATAAACACACGCACATCCTATCATTCACAATGGGAATACGATCTGATAATCCTCATCAAGGAGCAAGAGCGACAAACTTACGGCAGAAGAACTTCGTTCAGCTTTCCGTTGAGTTTTCTCTTTGCTATGACAAGCTCTTAAACTCCAAACCCTATTGAAGACCCACACTTTCGTCATCTTGGGGGATAGCTTGTCTCACCTTCGGCTCATGCCCGAAGAGGCGAATTCGATTAGCAGGCGCTCCGGGCCCAATGCGACAGAGTTTGTGGGGTAGGCAGTGGGTGTGTAGGGGAAGGGAGGAGAAGAGTGGTGAGGGAGCGACAGTGGGAGAGTCGCATGCAAGCTGCGTGTGAGTCGTTCTAGCCGCAAGAGCGATGTATTCATAAAGAAGCAATGTCGCTGTCGCAATAGTATTCAATCCAGCAACCGTGTTACTACATAGTGCACTACAGGAACGATCGCAACACCAGTATGTAGCACAGCTGTCGAATAAGTACTACTGATACCTGCTGGTGTAGGCGAACTGACTTGGCGACCCATCTGTCAAATAAACATGTCCGAGGCATTTGTTCGAAGCAGAAGGAAGCTATTTAACAGACAAGCCCTTAAGCCAACGCCAACCTCCATTCGTTGATGCATGTCGAGCACCAAAGAAGCCACATGCAAAGTGTCACCAGAATAGTTCGAAGATCTCGGGCAGGTGCCCTCGTGATATGATTGTGTCCAGGGTTGGAGTGAGCCCGTACTCCTTAAAAGTCAGAGCCTCTAACCCCTAAATCCCAAACCCCGAAACCCCAAAACCCTTCAACCTCCAGCTATTTTTTTGGGGTTTTGGAGCTCAGGGTTCAGTTTAGAGTACTGGGCTCAGGATTAAAGATAAGGCATTTAGGGTTGAGGGTTTGGGCATCAAGCTTGCATGTCGAGGTTTTCGGGTTTTGGCTTGAGGCTTCAGTCTATGGCCTTCGTTCTTAATTCCCTCGGGACTAACCTGCCCGACCCTAGGATTGTACATACGAAGCCGTGAAGCAACATGCCAAGTTGGCTGTGCGGCTGGACTTCTGAGTGACTTCTGCGTCAAGTTACACAAAATGGCCGTGTAGTGTTGAGGTTTCGGTCTGGAGTTCGGCCTTCAGCGCAGCAAAACAAGACAGGCAGCGATCCTGTGACTCTTCGTTGGTTTCTTGATGTGTCTGGCACCAGGAGAATCCATGCGGACCACAGTTTTCTGAGGAGAGGAAGTGCAGACACGGGCACAGACAGACCAACAACCACAGAGAGAGAGAGAGAGAGAGAGACAGAGTGGGAGAGTGGGAGACAGAGAGACAGAGTGGGAGAGAGAGAGAGAGAGAGAGAGAGAGAGAGAGACAGACAGACTTCTCTTTCCAGGGCAGCAGCAGCACAACTCTCAAGTCCCATACAACGCTTTGTGTAGGGCTTTGGGTTTGATTGAGACACCTGAAACTTACCCATCTTATTCCTTATCGTCTCTTGTCATAGTTAAAGTATACCCCAAACCCCTATTCTAATCATAAAGGTCTTTATATGTCTCATGAATTCATGCAAAAACCCATAAACCCCTTATAGCCCTTAAAGGAACCCTTACCCGAACTTCGTTCTAATCATCGAGACCCCCCAAAAAACAAGCTCCCGTGGCAACTTCCGCCTCTCACTGCCGAGACTCAGGCTTCAGGCTGCTTCGATGTTTCACTGCTCCCAGGTGGGGATCAGGATTCTGTGGCTTTTGGTGGATTTCCGGGGCTTTGGAGTTTAGGATTTGAGGTTGAGACTTTGCATCGGGCTGGTAGGAATTCTAAATTGAGGCAATTCGGAGTGTGCGTGAGGTTGTTTGCTGTGTTGGATGACTTGGCTTGTGGGTCTTCCAGGGCTCGCAATGTATGCAAGAAGCTGGAATCGTGGCAATGTCAGCCCATTCCCCGACTCTGCGAATTGGGGGAGGCTGTGACCTGGATTTGCACCTGTGGTGGAGCCATCTTCGGACACATGGCCGTTTGCTCAGCTTCATGTCGTGGGACCACAGCTCGAGCTTCGTGATGTCGGGACGCAATGGCACAGAACGTTGATGAACTTGTGTGCGAGGTTCTAGGCCCAAGCATTTCGCTGCCCTCTCTTCTGCTCTTCAATCTCTGAAGATGTCCCGTGTCGCCTTCGTCGCCGGTGCCGCCCTGCTCCTGGGCGCCAGCTGCTTCGTGCTGCCGGGCAGCACTCCAAGCAGCGCCCCGGAGGTGCAGGTCTCCACCGGCCGCTCGGCGGGCGCTGCGGCGCCGGAGGCGGAGTCCACGACCGCGGCCTTCAGCCCGCTTGCCCTGGGTGCCGCCCTCGGCTTGCTGGCCGCAGTGGTGGGCAGCCGTCCGGCTTTGGCCGCGGACCTCGAGAACGGCGAGGCCATCTTCAACGGCAACTGCACCGCCTGCCATGCCGGCGGAAACAACAGTATCGTGGCGGAGAAAAAGCTGATGCTCGGTTGCACGGTGGCATCTGGCTTTGCCAGTTCTCCTTCGGCCCTGCATGCAAGGAGTGGCGTCCGATGTTGGCCGCTTTGTAGGTCTTAGTTTGCGCTTGCCACAAGCAACTTGCAAGGGGAAGCTGCGGCTCAAGGCTAACACTCTAGAGGGTGGACACAAGCTGCACGGCGCTGAAAGGAGAACTGAGTGCGTGTGACGAGCATTCAACAAAACATGGGCGTACGACTAAACGCAACGACTCAGAGTACAACCATATGACACAAGCGTTTACTCTTGCAAAACCGGACGCTTATGACTATGACTGAGCGTAAGCCAACGCTTGCCAAAATTCCGTATGTAGCTCTATAGAATAGAATCAAGCTGTGGCTGAGGAAGAAGGAGGCCCTGGTGCAGTACGGCAAGTACGACGTGCAGGCCATCATCACCCAGGTCACCAACGGCAACGGCGCCATGCCGGCCTTCGGTGAGAAGCTCGGCCCGGATGACATCGAGGACGTGGCCAACTACGTCTACAACAAGGCCGACAAGTGGTGAGCAGCGTCGCAGAGCTACCTGCTGGCGAGACCCAGCAGGCAGCTATGCTTGGTCCGGAGGCTTTTTCCGATTTGACATTTGATATCATTTGATCGTTGCGCGATTGCTGGTGCTCTTGGCAAGCCACGTCGGCCTCTGCCAGGCGCACCATAGATGCTATAGAGTCTGTCATAGAGCGAAAATGGAGCGGAGGGTACAGGACAGCAAAGGTCGTTTGACTGGCACGGTGCTCCGAGATGTTCGATGTGACCTCTGAAATTCCGAGGCCCCCCAAAAAGGTTCTCGTTTACGGACTCGGTCATAGCGTTGCCGTTGAGACATGCGTAGCCTACAAAACCAGCTACCCTGTAAAGTATGTCAATATCAATAGACAGTAGCTGGCCCGAAGTCGATCAGAAGCCGGTCGACAGTTTCCATCTTCGATTAACCGAAGTCGACGGCAGACCGCCTGCCCCGGAGCCCGAAGTTCGATGCAGACCACGAGAGCGAATTTATAGCGTGCTTCACAGCCTTTGACGCAGCTGGCTCGCCTCCTCTCATCCTCCTGCTCGTCCTACTGCTGCTGCCGCTGCTTCTGCTGCTTCTGCTGCTTCTGCTGCTGCTACTACTACTACTACTACTACTACTACTACGACGACGACGACGCCGACGGCGGGGATGGCTGCTACCGATGCTGTTAGTGACTGTTAGTGTCATATCCAATCATTATGATTGCCGTTCTCTCCTTGAGGCCTCCAACGACACGGTGCCTTTCCATGGCCAACCCGCGTTCCTCCCGCGACGGGGGACGAGCATGCAGGACAGGCAAAGCTGTCGAAGGTTTGGCTCAGGCCTTCTGTCGGGGTTGACGATCTCTGCTGACTGTGTTTGCTAATGTTGTAAGATATTGTGCAGTTCTGGTTTGAAAACAATTTTTAAGTTTAGAGGTTTGAGGTCAGCACTGAGGATCTTCTTCCAACGAGTCCTTGCCACTCGCTTTTCCCATGTTCAAAGCGATACGGTTTCTAGACGTTTCCGTAAGTTCTTGTCACCTGCTGAAGTATGCAAAGCTTGCTGCATTGCACAACCTGCGAGGCCACAGCCTAGCTCTTGTACACTACATTCTTCTTTCTAGCGATAGAAAGAACATGTCGTAGACACATCGGCGGTACACACCGACGATTGCTGTATGTCCTCCCGGCGACATGCTGTTGCCGAGTGCATGAGGCATAGCACAAGTTCGAGTGTTTGTTGTCAGATATACGAGAAGAAAGCCCTCAAGAGCCAGGCTTTAGGGGTTTCGTGTGTTGGATGTCGGGGTCGAGGATAGCATATGTGTTTGGGGTTTGTGCGGCTATTTTCTTTTCTTTGGGTTGGCCTTGATGTAGGCAGACTGAACTCTAAATTGAACGGTCCCTCCGCGAGGACTCTGATGACGAAGAGGACGACTGCTATCGAGGCAATTGCAGCTTTGATCCCAAACCCTGCAATCCGAACCCGCGAAGACCTAGTACTCGGGCCTTACTAATTAGAATAGGGTTTTGGGGCCCATTACAGTACAAGTATAACAAGGACCCCCCCCCAAAAAAAAAGAAAAGTATTGGTAATTATTTAGGCCCCTACATTACATACACCCTGCACCCTAAGCACAGCCCGTAAAGCGGCCCAAGGGGCCCCTTTATTCCTTTATGCAAAGCAGTAACAGAAGTCGTCGTCGTAGTAGTCGTAGGGACAGGAGTAGGGGTAGAAGCAGGAGTCGGAGGAGTAGGAGGAGTAGGAAGAGCAGTAGCAGCTGCAGGAGCAGTAGGAAGAGGAGTAGGAAGAGGAGGAGAGGCAGTAGGAGGAGTAGGAAGAGTAGGCAGGAGTAGGAGCGTAGGATAAGGAAATGAACAGCAGTAGGCCAGTGATAACAATATGACTAGTTATCAGTGAACATAGCATCTGTCTCATTCCGCAGTCGTCGTCATTCTCTAATCACCACCAATAGCTTTTGCCATCACTGCAGAGCAGCAATGGTCGTTTTTGTTGTAGCCGTGTTCGCACAAGTGGTCGCAGAGCGGCACCCTGCGCCAAGAGGCGTCCCGACTCCTTTAACTAAGCCCACAAGCCTCGAACCCTTAGAACTCCTACGCCGACGAAGAGCCAGGCGTTGACCACGAAGTCATCGAAGGGCACACCATTGGTCGGTTGCTCAGAAATAATATACTATGATATACTATAGTATACCACAATATACTATATTATATCATCATATACCAAAGGGTGTGCAGGGGTCCATGCTCCGAAGCTCCCCAAATCATCCCAAAGCAGCCCCATAGGCTTCAAAGTTTCAACAATCAGTTTTTCGAAAATCTTGCAGCTTTGGCGACACCTGCCCCCCTTCTGGGAAGTTGTTGATGAGGAACTATCAGTCAGTATCAAGCACTGACTAAAAAGCCGCACAAGCAGTAATCATCCTGACCAGATCAGGGTCATATGGGTGGCTCTTTTCTGACGGCTCCAAGAAAGTGCGTCACTCCTCTTCTAGGGACCCCAATTTAGAGGACCTTGCATGGAACGCAGGCCATACCTTCCACGCGGCGAGCAGCACAAGTGGGCGGGTACCCCTTCGGCACACTTGTTGGGTCGGAGTGCTTCGTGCTCTCTTACAACATTGGTTCGGAAACACGAGGCCAACCGTAAGACATTGATCACGATTGCAGGGTTGCCTTCGCTCCTGATTCCGGAAACGGAGGTTGAGTTGGGGCTGGGAAGACACATGCTGAGGTGGCTACAGGCGCGGTGACTTGTAGGAATCCCAAAGCCCACACCCTCAACCTCAAACCCCAGCAGATGTGTTGCCATTCTGTGGGATTCATGATCATCTCATGGAGTTTCGTGGTGTTTTTGGGCCACTGGGCGTTAGCCGGTTTGTCTTCGGAAGCGGGTGAACCAAGGACCGCGAGTTTGAGCTTTCCGGCCATTGGAGAGAACACAAGCTGGAAGCACACAGCGCCAGCGATTGCGATTGGGGCAGACCGAAGCATACCTCTTATTCCGACATACACCCAAACAGTGAAAGACCACCGACACACAATGTACACCCCGACGGAAGACCGACAAACTACAGACACTCTTACAACGCTGCTTGCTCGCGTTTGTCTGAGCCAAAATCGTTCCTCCCATGTACACGTGGAATTCCCAAAGCAGCTTCTAACTGGGAGTTCCGACTCCTCCAGTGCTCGATTCCGAGTGAGGTTGAGGTCCTTTGTCCGGGTTGCCGGGTCAGATCATGTGCGACACTCTTAAATCCGAAACCCCGAAACCCTAAACCATAAATTGAACCCTACGTAAGCCTGAAGTCCCAAACCGACATCTCCAGAAAAGATCTATCCCTCCCTGGCAAGCCGTCATCAAAGCCTTTTCAGCCTGCAAAGCCAACAAGCCCTCTAAGGCCTCTTAGGCTGTAAAGCAGGGTAAAGCCCGATACAGTTTTAACCTTCACTAGTACTATTACTTATACCACTAGTATTACCATTACTTCTGCTGTTACCATTAGTATCTGAAGCCATGGAAGACTTTGAGAGCCTGCCAGGCGGGGAACGATGAGCACTTGAAATGCATGGCCGCGCTCCGGAATGCTGTCGATGGTCTTGTAGTTTGTTTAGTTGAGGGTTCAGGGTTTAAGTCTATTAGTCTACATTTGTTTTGAGGGCTTCAGGGCTTCGGGTTCCGGCTTTTCTGGTCCAGTTTTGGCTTTCGGATGCCGGCTTCTGTCATCGGCGCCGATACCACCAGGATCAAGAAGATTTGCGTGCGTAGCGAGAGATGGCAATGGTATTGAGGTCGAAATACCATGTCATGTTGGAAGCCAGCAGGTCGACTCGTCGATCAAGCCGTAAACCACCAAGATTAGGTTAGTTTCGATGCAGTAGCAGCAGCAAGACTGGTGTGCCTTTGGACGCTTGGGGGCTGGGTAGCTGGGTAGCTGGGCTGGAGTCCCGACATTCTGGGCCTCGTGGGCACAGAAAATAGACAAACAGACGAGTGGTCACCGCCGGGTCAGCAGACGAGACTTAGTCACTTGCGTGGCGTTGAGCTGCTAGTGTCATCCTTGGGAAGGGTATGCCTGTCTGTCGGTTCTTGGAATAGGAATGGTGAGTAGTCAGTAGTCTGCTTAGTAGTTGTAGTTTGTTTGCACGATTTGAGTCAGCGACCGAGATGGACCCAACCTGAAATTCCGAGCCTACAAAACCCTCCTACATCACAAAGGTTGGAGCATCTGAACTGCATGTCGCAGTTTAGGTCTGCATGGAGGAATTCCGGGAGGGCGAAGCTGTGCCCGTGGCCCAGCACTTGCTCTTGCGCACTGGCAGGCTAAACGTGTGTGCTACGGTTCCGCGTCTTCGATTGGAGCAGCAAGTACGACGGCAGCTGTAGTGCTCATATTCAACAAGTCAGCGACGGTGATGCTGGCAGTCCGGCAGAAGATGAAAGCGACGACCCAGGCTTGTGATCATGAGTACGTAGTGATGCTGATCATGACCGCGATGACGGGACGGGTTCGCTGATGGCCATCGCGGCGACCCAAACGATGCTAAAGATGCTGCTGCTGTTGCAATTTTGATGCTCATACTATGTTGTGCAGTAGGACGACAGTAATGATGGCATGGAGGATGGAGACGACCAGCTGTTGCTGTTAAATATGATCATAGTGATGGTGATGCTGGTGATGACAATGATGATGATCATCACAATAGAAATTGATGAAGAGGAGGTCGGGCCTACTGGCCTACTGTCACGGCGGTGATCATGGTGATGTTTACGGGTTTCGTGCAGGCGCACCACGATGCTGTTCCTGAAGTTGACATTGTTGCTGCGATGATTCATGCTAGTTGCGGCGACACGACCGAAGGGCTTGTCAATAGTCTTGATTCTGAGGATGATGTTGAGGATGGCCATGGTGATGATTTTCAGCAGCATCGGGAAGGCAATGGTGAACAGCTTTCGCGCTAGGCAGGATTCCGTGGATTACAAGAACGGAATATGGTGATTAGGAGGCTGATGATTGCGATGGCGATGGTTGTGTAACGATTGAGCATGATTCTTGTTGACGTCGGCAAGTGAACATACGGGCACTCGTGACTGATTCACCTTTGCTGTTGCAGCGGTTTATGCTGCTGCTTACAGAACCCATAAGCACTTTTCCTGCCACTGTAGTCCAATTTTGCCATCCATGCTTGTCGGAGCACAAATCAAGGCGGAGCTTGCCGTGCCTGCACCGGCACCATCCTCGGTGTTCTGAGTGCAGAGTGTTTAGGAGTGGGTGTTTGAGGATGAGGAGCATGAGGCTGGCGACGGTCTGCAGGATTTTGGTGCTGTTTGATGATAGCTCGAAGCGCCAGCCTGCGACTGCAATAGCCTGAACGATAATCTGGTTGATTGTCGTAAACATCTAAAAATCTAATATGAAGTCTTCCGAAATCCTCTGGCTTCTAAGTGAAGCCATTAGCCAAAGGGGCTTAGCGCGAATATGGACTTGTCATCTCTTGTGACTGCGACGAGAATGAAGAACGAATACTGAATAGAAGTTCAACCCGAGCATCAGAACTGAACGAGTTTTGCTCATGCGCTTCTTCCTTTGTTGGGTTTACGGCCTTGGGATCGAGTGCTGGGCTCAGGTTCGGGAGTTCAGGGTTTCGTGCATGAGCCAAAATCAGGAGCCAAGAAGCCATCCAAACATGAGCTTTTGGATGCGGTTTCCCTATTTGTTGCATAACTTCAGCAGAAGATTCTGGCAAACGGTTATGGGATATCTGTTGAGGTTCCTAAGAGGAGTCATTGAATACAGCACTTGCTAAGCGATAGTCCGATACCTCAAGCTTTAGAGCTCCTGCGAGGTACCACCAGCGCTGCATTGACCAATGGCTCAGCCGCAACTCGGAGTGTCCGATATGCAAGCAGTTTCCTGGCGGCACAAAGCTGTTCAACATAGCGAGTACATGCTATGGCAAGCCAAGACGGCATTTGAGGTTCAGGTGTTCTCCGGGACGAGGGAAAATATGGGAGTTTCCCAAAACAGGGGACTTTAACATGGTACCCTTTTTAGTAGGATCCTTATTATAAGGGCCCCCAAATAAGGTATCCCTAGTTTTCGGAAACTCCCATATAGCCGGTCGTGGAAACAGCGTGAGTGTTACTGCGTTGCTCGGGAGATCCACGAGGCTCGTAAGCGAGTTCTTCTCGGGAGTTCGTAAGCGAGTTCTTCTCGGGAGTAGAGACGGAGGACCCGTCGGGCAGTGCCTTGCGTCCCTAAGCGCATAAAGCTGGACTCAGCGGTTCGAGTTGGACGATTCATGTGATTCCGGTTCCGGTTGGTGCCGAGAGCCTTAACCCGTGAAGCGTTCGGTCCGGAATGCAGCAGAAGCGTCTGCTGAGGGACATCACTGCGCCGCAGAACATGCTCCGACCTCGGGCATGGGTGAATATCACTGATAGCGACAAGGAGGGTGGGGGATTTAGGCTTTCGAGTTTCGGGGTTTGGCTTCCGGATTCCCGTCTAAAGGAGCTCCTTGCAGTCCAGAAACTTGAGGCAAAATCTGGATGTACTGGCTATGCTCATTGCACGACGGAAAGCAGCAACAGCTCCGAAGAGAGCCGAGCCCTGCCAGGATTGCTTCATTATGCTTCCATGTCTCTCAACTCCCGTGCCGTAAGCCACAAACTTTACTCTAAACGCTATGCCTTCAAACTTCCGGGTCTTGGTTGACTTTCGGGGCGGTACAGGTGGGTTTTGGACCCAATTCAGGGTGTGCAGTGTAGGCATCAAAGTTGACAAGCCGCAGGGCATTCTGCATATCTGTATAACCTAGTATGTTGAGGGATCGGATTTGGATGCCCCTAGACACGAGCTATGCACGCTAAAGAGGCCTACGCTTTCAAGTCAAGGAGCTTTGTCCATTGTCTCAGCTTCCACATAGGCTTGTGCAAGAGGCACTAGAATTCGGTATTTATCAGGCAGTTTATGTCTGCTCATCGGGCACGTCAGGCCAGCCGCCCCGGCGCCGGTATCGGCATCCAGGCTGGTCGAGGATCTTGAGGTTTTGGTGTGTGTCTTCGGATTGTGGGCTTTTGGGCTTGCAGGGGGTTCTGATCTAGGGGTGTCAGGGGTTTGGGGAAGGGTCTGATAGTTTTTGAACTGGGGTCTGGAGTCTTGGCAGCGGTTCGCGCGCTTTTCTTGCTTGATTTTGCTGCACTCCAGATACCCACGGAACCCTAAGCCGGAAAATTCAGTCCCAGGACCCTGTTATGATCATTGAAAACCCGATGCCACACACCGCATGGCTGTGCCGAACTACCAGATCTGCTCCGGGCTGACTAGATTAAGTGGCTCTCAACAAGTCGAAGTCTTCAGTTAAAACAACGCTCCTCAACAAGAAACGTCAGTAGGTCCTTGCACTTCGACCTAAGCCCGAAAGCCTCGGATGGCCGGAGGGTGGTGGTGGTAGTTTGGCTTGGCCACGATTCAAAAAATATGTATACTACGCGCACATATGCGTATTGTTATGTAATCTATATTCTATATTCTAGATTCTATTATAAAAATATATGTCATATCATATACCAAACAACTATACACCATTACACATATATATATATACACATCTCTTATTGTTTGTTACCATATGATATGTATATATATATATATATATATATATGTATATGTATATGTATATATGTATGTATGTATATGTATGTATATATATATATATATATATATGTATATATGTATATATGTATATATGTATATATGTACATATGTATATATGTATATATGTATATATGTATATATGTGTATATGTATATATGTATATATGTGTATATGTTTATATATATATATATATATATGTATGTATGTATGTATATATATATATATATATATATATATTGTATATATGTACACATACATACACACTTTCGGCCTGCTTGTGCCGCCAGGTTTGGTCGGCCCTGGGGCGCGTGAGAGGCTCGCGCTGCCGGGTTCCGGGGCTTTCGGATTGCTTAGTGTTTAATTGGCTCTGGGGTTCAATGCTTGGTACTTAGTGTCTTGAGTGTGCTAGGGCTATGGGCCTGTCCGTGTGCTTCACGACTACCTGGATTTCTGCAGTGGCCGGCCGCTGTTGCCCCAGATTTTCTGTCTCTTTGAATCTGCTTAGGATTCAGTTTTGACAATGGCTAGGTTCGGCAGTTGATCATTACCGTGTGTTGTTTCAGTTCGTGCTATGGGTTCGTGTTCTTCTCAGTTTCAGTGTGCTGCGGAGGCTTGGGTTTGGGTTTAGGGGGTAGCTTGCGGCTTTAAATGGGTGACAGGCGTGAGGCGTGAGGCCTGGTGTGGGTGTTTGTGAGCATCGACATACATGATCATATATGTACATGTCTATAATATATGGATACACACTTTCACATACATAGACATATATGCATAGACATACACATGTACATTCACATACGCATGCGTATACCATACACATACACATACACATATACAGATACATATACATAGACATATACATATACACGTGTACATGCACGTGCACAGAGCCTAATTCTTTGCAATCTAAGAGAGCATGCGGATTTAAGCGATTCAGGAAGGTGTCGAGCCTCACTCCTCTGGTGCTCTCGGTGCAGTCCCCGCCCCAGAAGCCATCTCAGCCTAAACCTGTTGGTCCATGCATAATATTTTGTTGTCATATAAGCAATAAGTAAATCAGTCAATACACACACACACATATATATATATATATCTATTCATATAAACTACTAACTAGTAACTGCATGTATGTAAATATGTACACATAGAGACAGAGCCGTTCGATAGCAGGGAGCCCGGGCTTGTAGTTCTGGATTTAGGAAGACTATAAGGGGGGGCCTTGTATTCCTGAACTATGGAAGACTATGAGGGGCGTGGGGGGGGAGGCTTGTAGCCATGGATTTAGGAATAGCATAGTCCTGGATTTAGGAAGAGTATGACGGGGGGGGGGGCTTGTAGTCCTGCTGGATTTCGGAAGACTATGAGGGGGAGGGGGGCTTGTTGTTTTTTGTATGTTTTCTTTTTTTTTTGGGGGGGGGTGTTGGAACTGCGTGGCTTAAGAGGCAGTCTAGAGAAAGCGGGGTGGGGGGGCAGGACTACAAGCCACCCCCCGCTCATAGTCTTCCTAAACCCAGAACTACAAGCCCCCCAATTCAAGACTACAACCCCCCCGCTCTTATAGTCTTATAGTAATTCCGCCCCCTTTCCGCCCGCTCGCCCGGTAGGATTGTAAGGGGGTGGTCCCGGGCTATTGAACCGGACTCCATAGAGACCTATGAATCTAATGTTTATGTTTGTTCACTGAATGATCTTGTTTTCATATAGCAGTGACGGTGCCAGTTGCAAGGAATGCAATGCTCTCATCCGGCACAGACCCGTTTCCGTGACACACGTTTGATTGTGGTAGGTCCAGTGCATAGTGTCTCATTCCTCAATGTATCCCATTGCGAACCCCTGCCGCCAGACCTTCTTTTCTGTGAGCTGCAGCAAAAGGCTGGCCGGAGCTTCGTCTCACCTCGAAGATAAGTTGTTTAATTTAACGCAAAAGAGTCGCTGGGTTTGGAAGCGTGTCTCCTTCGGAATGGAGGCAAGTCGTCCCGCTATCGCACCTGCTGTGACTGTACCATGTGCCTTTCCACCTGCGCAGTGTGCAGTGCATGTCTAGTGATGAAAATCCAATCCATTATGATATGATGCTCCGCCCAATGATGCGGAAGGGTCGATGTTTCAGCACGCCGCCTATACATTCCGTGGCTCCAGTTTCAGAGGGGTCTACGGGAGCCCGCGGGGAACGCAATTCCGAGGAGGAGTGCCTGGGGCTGGGATGGGGGTCAGGCCTTCGAAGCGCGCATAAACTCAAAATGGAGTTTATTGTCATGTAGTGAGTACAATACAACCCATCACAAACGAAGTTTGCATCGTTGCAAACACAGCATGCAGAAGTGCCCTATCAGGTGCTAGAACGGGTTAAGGCATTTGGCTCTAGTCAGTCGTGCTTGGTTGGAGCGGACCAATTCGGCCTAGTCGCCAAAGTGCCAAATCTAAGCCGCCACAAGCATTCCATGGTGTGTTACTTGTTGCATAAGTTCAGAATCCAAACATGCGGGCATTCAGGGCCTTAATGCCTTGTGTAATATCTCGGAACGTTCATGGTGTCGGATTTTGGTTTAGGGGTTGGGGAGGGGCCGTAGCAGCTGCCAGCTCTGTAGCTGACCCCTTGCAACATCTTGCAACCGGAGCTGCTTCTAGATCTTGACACTCCGCAAGGGGTCTTTACTTTGCGGGTATCGAGCCGTAGTAGTCTTCACACCGAAACCGGGCCTAAACTGTAGAATTTCAGTACCACAAACTCTTGACTAGTGGTAGTCCTTAAGCTTCAGGGCCGTAAGCCCTACACCCATTCAGCCGGACTCCTTGTAGCCGACTCACTGGGACGATGCTGGGAAGCGGTTCCTGTTGGGGTTCGGGACCTAGGGCTTGGGTCTTCGGGGTCTTGGGTATATGGGATTTAGGTTTAGGATTCCGGTGCAGGCGTGATTTGGGATTTGAGGTCTCAGGCTTTTGGGCTTGTCCTTCTCTTCCTGATATGGATTAGCATTCACGGGGCTTAGAAGGTGTGGTGTGGATCGTTGTTGGAAGTGGATTCTGGTTAAGGGTTGCGGATTTGACCGGATGGTTCGTATCTGCTCAAAACCGAAGCCCCGAACACTAGATTCACCAGACTTCGCCCCTAACGCCTAAAGTCCCGAACCTTTCTTCTGCAAGTGTTACTCCTCCAGTGCTGCGTTTTCTGCTTGAACGAATAAATCCGCTTGGAGCTGCAAAAGCCGAAGGGCTCGGGATTCGTTCGCTTTGCTTGTCGTTGTATCCTCTCTTGTCGTTGTACACTCTCCCGTCTTTCTCACCTCCACCTGCTCCCCCTTTGTCTGTTGGTCTCTCTCGCTCTCTCTTCTCTCCGGCTGGCCCGCTCTCTCTCATAGCTTCCTTCGTTAGCACAACATGGCTGTCAGTTTTGCACTTTTTGCACCCCCCATAGCTAAGCCAACTTACAGGGTGCTGAAGCTGTTTTGAGACATGCGTGTCTGGCACTACGAATCATGATGGGTCGTGAGAGCCACGTGGCAGCATGTGGTTCGGAGCACTAACTGTTAGTCCCTAACTCCAATGAAGGCCCCCATACTGATCCCATACTAGTCCCGTATAGATGGGTTCTTTAAAGGAAGCTTATTCTTGTTACCCATCGTATCGCTGTCCTCAATACCCCACTGCTGGCGAGGGCGTTCGATCGACAAAGAATGGCTCCACCAGAACCACAGGCTGGACCGGCATTACTAGCAATGCTACTGATACTCTTACTATGACTTTGTTGGTACATGCTATTCCTCCTCCTCCTCCTCCTACTACTACTTCTGCTACCACCACCACTACTCCTCCTCCTTCTACTCCTACTTCTAGTATCTTACCACTATTACTACTTCTATTTCTTTTTCTAATGCTATCCGACTATGACGAAATATTACTGTTACTACTGCTGAGTACTACTGTTACTTTGCTTTTTGCAGTTGCTATTACTACTACCAATACTATGAGTATTACTATTACTTCTACAATTAGGGATTGCTTTGTTGGGGTTCAGGGCTTAGAACGCAGCCTCATGATTCAGGTGATTAAAGGCTCTAGAGCTTTTACGGTTCATTGTGCAGGGTTTAGATTTGATGATTTTGGGCTTTCAAGGTTTTAGAGTAGAGGGTTTAGCATTGCTAGGCGACATGTTAGTATGGTTGCAGCTCTCACGAATTATTGTTCTGGGTGCTTCTGCACGTGATTAGGAGGTTCGGTTGACTTGCACGCGCGCAAGAAGCAGCTCATTACGCTTTATGCATAGTCAGGTTTAGGGTGTGGGGCTTAGGCTTAGGGACTTGGTCGTGTTTCATGAGCGTCTTATCTGTGCTTCCAGGCCGAGGCTATGTGGCAGTTTTTCTCACAGTAGTTGGCAGTGGATCCCAGCAAATCTCTGTTGATGAAAGGCAAACCCCAACGCTAAGTTTATGGTTCAGGGTCTAGATCTTTACCAGAGACACAGGACTGCAACCATGATTGTTGTGGCATCCTTCTATAACCCTCGTACAACATACTCTGAACCCTTAAACTGACCCTGCAAGTCCCTACTGAGTTGTACTTGTTTGTGCCTGAGGCTTGGCAACCCCCGTCCGACTGAATCCGCACAAGTTCCGTTTTTTGCACTCGCCATGAAACACGATGCCCAATCACAAGCTACACTTCCGACAACCCTGCTTGCCACCCCGGTATGTCACAGGGCCTGCAACGCCTCCATTATCCCAAGCTTGACTGAGGTTGCTTTGAATTGGGTTTCCCGTTTTTTCTTCTGAATCAGAAGTTTCCACGCAACAGCTTCAGATGGCTCAGCAGATGGGGCCTCCCTTGGGACACCCCTACTGTTACACCTTCTTATAGATGTAATTCGAACCCTACTGCTACACCTTCTTGTAGATATAGTCAGGACCCTCAACCCTACTCCCTAAACCATGGAGTACCCTAACCTCTGAACCGTGGAGCTAGAGTTAGAGCCTAGAGCCGCACACTCGAAAACCCGCGGAGCCTTGCGCCAGACGTCTGGTGACTTCGCGGCTAAGCGCCACCTGACGCTGCGGCCCCCAGAAATTACAAGAACTGTTGCAGCAGGTTTTTGGAGTGTCATAAGGAGTCTCAAGGAGTCTCAACGACAAGTCTACGGGTCCCTATGAGGTTATGCCGGAATACATCCCCACAAAACACAAATACTAGTCCAATCAGCAAGGCCCTTATGCTGGAGCCTTAGAGTGGCAGGGTTTAGGGTTCGGAGGATTCGGCTTTGGTTGGAGAGCCGGTGGGTTACAAGTTTCCGGAAATAGAGCAACAGGGGTTGCAGTCGT